TATATATATATATGGAGAGAGAGAGAGAGAGAGAGAGAGAGAGAGAATATAAATATTTTATGCTCCACTTTCTGGATTAAGATAATTATGTATAATATTGAATGACTAGTTACAATTTTTTAGACTTCTGAACATCATATACATAATTTAATTGGGGAATATCAAGGTAGAAGATAAGATGGTATAGAGGATAGATTTTGAAAGTATTGACAAATAAAAATGATATAAAATTACAAATAATACAACTAAATTAAAACAAAAAAATTGAGAAAAACAAAGGATAAATTAAAGCAACTTGAGGTTATCGAAATACATTTTGCAAACAAAATTGACACCTCATGCAACATTTATGAGAGAAGGAATAAAAAATGGACATTTATAAAGTCAATCCCTAATAACTGCCATGAGATTTAAGATAATGGAAAATATAAATATACTAACAAAAACCAACCCCGTCAAATTAAGGGTATGTTTGGGGCAACTTGTGCGTTTCAGGATAAGTTGCTTATCTTAAAACGCGGCCCGCGGGCCGACCGCAAGGGTCGACCCGTGGCCTACGTTTAATGTAAAAACCCAAATACAGTTTCGGATAAGCCAACGAAACGCGCGAACCAAACGGTACGACAACATTTTCAAAATGCCGCTCGCACTTATAAGCTGCCCCAAACGGACCCTAAGACTAAAATAATATTCATATACTATTATAGCTCAATTTTGAAATAATAGAAGACTAATTTTACAATTCTATAAACTCTGAGATTAAAATGATTTAATATAAATAGTATGAGACTATTTTGTGCACTTCATTCAAAAAAAATTGAGGTGTTGGCCTTTGATTGCAAGAATCCTAGAAATAATAAGATAATGCCTTGAAGACATACCCCATAAAATAATAATAATAATAATAACTATTTCAAAATATAATCTATCAAAAAAACACAAATATTTATGTGTGTCCGGTAAACCAGACTCGCGGTCGACGGCGTGGATCACACCACGATGCCGGTACGATCCATGTCGTCATCTGCATGTCGTCGTCCGCACGTCTAGCCGACAAATGTAATGTTTTCTCCATTTGCGGTCTACTTTCTCCTCCCCAAAGCACAACATTAATGGCGAACAAAGAAGGTTGCAATCCTAAAGGCACGCCAGAATTTAAAAGACTAAAAATCCCACCAATGCCATCCTACAATTAGTAAATTACAATACATATATGTTCACCACAAAAAAATGCAAATAAGATCATCAAAAAGAAGCAGCTACATATTCATCAACTTACAAAGAATTAACATTTTCTCTGCAAAGCAGGAGAAATCAATCAGCTATGCTGTTCTCTCGGCTGAGGTAAGATGCCCCATTCTTTCGGTTAAATGATCAACACTCCTCCTACTCCACCATGCTCTTCCCTGCTCGGTTACTTCCTCAGCTCTTCTTCCACCATCATCTATATCACTTTTTTCTGGTTGGGATTCCTGTGCATCACAATAACAGGGACTCTCAGTCAGAAACTGTTCCCAGAATGTATCGTTAACTCCTCCGGCAACCACCGCCGTAGTCGCCGGAGTTTCAGTCTCTCTATCCCTCAAATGAACCACAGGCTCCGAGTTCATATCTATATCAGACACCTTGCTGTTCATGCCGGCTTGAAGGGAACGAAAATCTGCTGCAGGAAGGAATGCTTGTGCTTTCTGCTTGAGTGGGGGAATCTGATAAATCTGGATATAAATTAATGTCTTCAGGGCAGCTTGAAGAAGGACCTGAATGGGGGGTTGGTGATTGACTGTCAATATCAGGGAGAACAGCAGCAGTTAAACGAGGGAGCCGTTCCTCGAAGAATGCATCTTCGCCAGAGGCCTGTCCTACTTCTTGAAAAAAAGTTTCCAAGGAGTTTAATGAAGATTCCATCTTTTCAAATGGTTCAATGTCCAACAAATTATGGAAAGAGAGATTTTTTCCATCCTGAATGATGGTATGTTGCAGAAAATAGTCATTTTTGGGCAATCTTCTCCTCTTGGGGTGGAGATCAGATTGGTGTATGAGATTAGAGAGAAAACCAGGCCTCTGTATGACTTGATCCAGGAAAGAGATGAGATTTCGTTGCCGGAGCACCATGGCCTGTAATCTTTCCTCCAAATCCTGCATCTGTAGATCCATGCCCTGCTGGATCTGTGCGTGACTCTGAAGCTCTATAATTAGAGCGGTTTCATCATGCTTCAGCCTCTCAATCTCCTTCTTGAGCTCCTGTCTTTCTGGTTCTGATAGGGGCACGGCAACATTGCTTCCTAGGGGTGATATCGAATGGCTATGTATCGGCTTGCGGCGGTGAATATTTTTTAAGAGATGTTTTTGCCCTCTAATAAATTCTTCATTTGCAAATTCCCATCGTTCTGGATCTATTTTCCTAAAGCCCTGAAAAATGCAGAGACAAAAAATATAAATTATTTTAAGTTATTGGTGATAAAACAATGCAAGTGCTACGAAAATGATATGAAAGCAAAGAGTTGAATTAATGTGAAATCCCTTTGTAGAATGAAGCTGAACTCTTAAAGACCGAGTTTTTTTATGTAACGATTGGAATTTCATCAAAAACTCCAAAGTTAAGCGTGTTCATATGGGAGCACCCTTGGGATGGGTGATCACCTGAGAAGTTATCTTAATGGGATAAAACCGTGAGACTATTACACCAAAGAAGACAATATCTCGATGTGCCAGAGTTTAGGTTATTACAAATAGTACGAGCATTACACCAACTTGAAGATTGAAACTAAGAGGGTGATTGGTAGCCATATTTAAGCAGTACTAACTTATTATTTAACGTAAACCCGGCCAAACAAAAAAAAAACCAAAAAATTAAATCCATAGTTCTTTAAATCCAATTTTTGTTGACTTTTGTGACTCTTTTTAACGTAAATCCGGATTTATTAAATCCGATTAACACATGGATTTAACGAATTTAGCTGAGGAAGAAAGTTATAGGAGTGGGTTTATGCCAAACACGATAAATAAATTTAATGGATTTAACCTTAAATTGAACAAAATACTATTCTAGATTTATAGCATTTGAATTTGATAAATACGAATTTACCAAATTTACTGAATCCTATGTAACTTAAATCCTAGTTGCAACCAAACACCCCCTAAGTGTCATACGGAACAAAATACTACATCATGGGAGCCACCTCTTAAACCCTAGATGGTACAAAGTATTACATGGTGAGAGCCGGCAGATTATTATGTGTTAAAAGCATTGACGAGAATGTCAATTGCATACATTGGAAAGATTGTGAAATCCCTTGAGTAGAATGGAGTTGAATTCTTAAACATCAAGACGACTCTTGGTGTAACAGCTGAAATTTTATTAGAAACTCCAAAATTAAGCATGCTCGTGTGGAAGCACCCTTAGGATAAGTCACCTGCTTGGAAGTTACACAAATTGGTAAACCGCGAGGCCATTAAGCCAAAGTGGACAGTACCTTAGTGGGTGAGAGTTCGGGTTGTTACAATTAATACCTATTTGGCACCAAATGTTGGTTTGTATAAATTTAGAAAAAAAAGTAATAATTGTGTTTTCATTTATGTTGATGGAGCGTGCTACCCATGGTGATTATCCAACTAATTTTTGTTTTCTTTTTTATTAGAATTTGGTGTGGAATTGTTAATAAAAAAATATTTGTGTTTTTTTTTTCTTTTTTTGGCAAATCTGATTTCCTATTAATAATAGTGTTTTAAAGTACAAGCAATGATAATATAATATCAAATGCATTTGTATTCTCTTTAATTCATTCAAAAAAAAAAGTACTAAAATTGCATATCATGCATTCACCCTTTATCCTATTAACCTTAAAGCTACCCATCTGCTAGAATTTCTCATTAACTCAAACTTCTTACTCATTTTAGAAATGGGTCTAAGATATTAAACCATATTATCTTATGCAAGCCATTTGGCCTAATGGTTGAGAGCTTTGTCCTTCAATGAAGAAGTCCTAGCTGGGGGGAAAAAAAATAGATTCAAATATTATGTACTAAATTGCATCACTTCGATTATCATTTTAAACACCTTAGTAACCAATAAAGACCATATTAATTTAATATTCATACATGTGAAAATACTATAGATACTCAATAACTACTCATGATGCTAGTTAGTGCTTTGTCACTAGTAGTCTTATCCCAGCAATGTAAGATTAGTTTAATCGATCCTCATGCTCTACTAATTCCTATTGAATTTGGATTCAATTTTCTTAATTTTGTCACAAATTTGTTTAGTGGTTGTAAATTTAAAATTAACATTTAAACTCTCATCCATGCTTCAAATCATTAATTGCAAATTTTTAGCTCACCCAAATACAAATTTTTAACATGCATTTGACGCACATTTTGTTTTATTAATAAAAACCAAATATAATGACAATGTACTTCATTGTATGTATTTTCAAAATCCACTAAAATCACATCAAGATCATTTTTTGCTCTCCAAATTTCATTAATTTCCTTAGAATTAAATTGCTTCCATAATATATCTTTCTAGCATAAAATCAAACCAATTCTCAAATGTCAACATAATTTTCTAAGCCTATGTTTCATCGGCATCTCATAACTTTATTATCACCCAAAGTTTGAATTCCGTATAATGAAAGTGCTAAAGAATTGTCTTTTCTTTCAAGTACTATTAGCAAAATATTCTCTAGTGTGTACCAGTTAATGAAGCATTGTTATGTGTCTATGCAGTCATCAAAGCATGCCCCTATCTTTAGTCCTAACTTTGATTATTAGTTTTATGTTCACTTATTATTAAAGCTGACCCCAAGTAAAGCTAAAGATAATTATGATATTTTTACTTTATGTAAACAAATGTTATTTGGACATGATCAAACAATAAAGTTGTGAAAGTGGCTCAAGGCACTGGAATTTAGACTATTCCCCTAGTGATTTACCCCATAAACACAAATCTAAATACATATCCAAGGGCTTTAAATCATCTGCCGATTCTTTTCCGGCTAAATCTTTGCAATAATTTAGCATACGGTCGCTATATATGCATATCAAAAAGAATTTTGTATTAGAATTAAAAAGAATAGATTTCCCACATCAGATAGTTTCAACGTGTTTATATGATGATCAAAATGAAATTTCAAATCTTAGCTGACATAGAAGTTCTTATGACAACAGAGAAAGTGTAAGCTCGGGTTTATGGTCAACAGTTTTTACGAGAATTTTAAATTCATAAGAAAAAATTGATTCAGTTTCTATCAAAAACTTTAACATTCAAGAATAGATTTAATTTTATATGGAGGCACAAATTTACAATAAAGATTAGATTCAAGTTTTAATTAAAATATTATAATTAATTCATTTTTTATTTCATTTTCAGTTCCTAATAGAACTTTAGATTCAGAATCATATCCAATTTCAAATTTGGGTTGCAATTCTGGTTTAATTGTAGGTTCAAATTCACTCTCAAAACTAGATTTAACTTCAGTTAGATTCAAGTTGTAATATTATTTCATGCTGAATTTTGATTTCAAATTAAATTTATATTTCTTGTGCAAGTCGAAGTTCAGGATCATAAACATATTTTATCATAATTGCATATTCAAATTCAACAAAATTACATAAAGACCGTGTTAAAAATATAAATATTCGTCTAGCACATCTTGAAAAAATTCAATTGTGAGTGTAAATTTCATCTAATTCATTGTCAAATAAATATTTATGAACAAAACCTTCGATAATGTTGAATCTAATCAAGATGATTTGACCCAGAATTACATGCGTCGAACCAGTATCCTGTTGATTTCACCACACTTGCTCTTTTTTTATCATAGGAGACTCTTCTTTAGGCAATTTTGATATTTCGGACCAGCTCGCGGGGGTTCGTTTTAACATGGAATATCATTTTTGGTGACCTCATCGATGATCGAGATGATTTGAGTCTGAATTATGCACTTTGCACCGTCAGCCTTTCACCGTGCTCTCTCCTTTCGATCATGAAATACTTATCTTTATGCAATTTTGATGTTATGAACACAACAACGGAATTTGATTTGCAATCACACATCATTTGGTTCTATTTTGACGAACATCGAGGTGTTTCACATTTGATCATGCAGTGTCACCTTCGTCGTTTGCTGCTCTCAACATGTTCGATCGACTTGTCTTGTAAAGTATATGTGAGGTAACCTAACTAGATAAAGAGAATTTCGTTCACAATTATTTTACATGTATGATGAAATAATTTTTGTTCCCTAAAGGCTCTTTCAATTATTTGATGATAATATTAAAAATTAAATTTTTTATTAGTTGATGCTAGCATTTGAAATTAGAATTTTAATTTCACCGTTTAAGCGCCTATTCCCGCCTTGATAATTCTACACCTTAGTCGGGTCATTACACAATACCTCTCAATGGATAAAGTAACATTATATAATACTTCATGATAATTATGTTACATTTGTTTAAAACCTTGACTTATAAACTATTGCTATGTTGTATCGTAAGCTATTTTTTTTTTTTTTATTGGCCCAAGTATTATATCGTTCGTTTGTTCACATTATGATGCAATAAAAAGCTCTACTATAAATTTAATGTCAGACTAATGAGGATCTAGGGTTACACATGAAAAGCCTAAGATGAGATGCAAAATGAAACAATGCAAATACACAAAATTCAAGATTTACTAATACATAACTTTAGCAAAAATTTATCACTTTAGCAATCATGATTTATTCATTCCAAAAGAAGACATCCCGCTAATACTCCTCAAGAAGTGAAGACCTAAGATAACTAACAAATGACAATGAGTTGGAAGAAAAACAACCCAACGTAGAAGATAACGACCAACTTTCGTTCAAACGCATTTCCTCTACCCTAAAGTCATTGCATAGATAGGCAGCCTACCATCAATTCCCATAAGTTGTGACCTAAAAGATAAATATATGCTTCCTATTAACCAACATGCAGGCAAAGAAGAAAGATCACGTTACTGAGTTTGCATTAGTTCATTTCTCCATTCACTTCTCTTCTTCACTCAATCTTCATCAATCCTTACCTCCTAAGGTGTAACTTATATCAACTGTTTTACTCTCTAAGGCGCTATTAGAAGCATTAACTGGTGGTTTCCAATTATCAAGAGAAACTAAATTCCTTTATATAGTATGATGAAGGAATACATACTCTCAAACCAACATAAATCGAATGCCTGATCTAGCTAGATGCCAAACTGCAACTCAAGAAATTAAATAAAAATGAAACTTAGCTAAAAATGTACTATTTTGCAGTTTATATATTTTAAAACAATAATCTTGCATATCTAGCTTCCCCAAATACATATTTTAGGCTTCCTTCTCATAAAAAATAAATAAATGTTTTAGACTAATCCTTGACAAACTTGCCACATTCTTGGTCAAAAAATGATTGTTATGAAGAATGTGTTCCTTAAAATCATTTGCACTCCATGAAACTCTTCTTGAAGTCCAAAAATGGGACAATGAACAAAACTTCCTATTAAAAAAACAATAAGCAGATCCAAAACATTGTAACTGATTCTAACTTTACTAAAAGGAAAACACCATTTCAACCAGGTCATCAAGTGGCTCATCATCACTCCTAAATTTGAAATTTTAAACTAAAAATTACCTAAAACTTTCTACATCTAGCAAACATTGTCCTTGACTTAATTTCACTGCGGATCCATTCTATGACTTCCTATAAGAACCAACACTAACAAACACCGGTTTTGGCTTACCATTTTTCTATTAAATGAACTGAATTGTGTTCTCAAATAAGAAAGAAGTGATTTTTAGCACATTATGGTAATAAATCTTTAAAATGGAGCAATGCTAGTTCCTAATTTCTTGGACAACCTAAAGAAAGAAGTGTTAAAGTAGGGATTGAAGATTTATCAGTCAGCTAAATCATGATCTACTCATTCAGCTTAAAAAACAGGAAAAGGGTGCTTTATAACTCATGGTTTCAGAAATAAAAATCAGTCATTTATGAAGCAAACAATAGTAAGAGGTAAATTTCTATAATCTACAGCCAAGTACTCATCCAAATCAATGAGATTAACAAGCTAAAATATATGAAACATCATTAAGAATCCGCTAAACTAAATAGTGAAGCATTATTATGAGTTAACAACAGTTGAAAATATTTATTGTAGTATAATTACGTATTTTCTCTGCTTAGAAATGAAACAGTAAATTATTTTTTAAAGTGATTTCAGAAGCTGTCTTCCGGAATCCCTAAAATTAAGGCTAAAAGTTCATTTCTGTATGAAACGCTGCAAGAGAGTAAGAAGAATGAGCTAAACAACAAAATACCCAGCTCAATATCTACTTCTTCAATAAATTATCAGGCCAAATTGCTATTTTGAATTGCTAACTAACTAAAACAAGCGCTCCTCCTGAGCAAGAAATTCGTAAATTAAAAAAGAAAAAAAAAAACCGGAGCACTTACATATGTGTTCAGCTGCCGGATGAAACTGGAGAAATTGTTGTGCTTAAAGTATGCGGGAAGCAAATCCCTAGCGAAATCCAACGGATTCCACACGATGAAGCTGCTACCTGATGCGCTCCAGGAAACAATGGAGTCTGTCGATGTATCATCCAACATGTCATACGTTTTGATAAGAAAAGGAGCTGGAGAACTCGAAACTCCATGAGAACCTTCCATTCCTTCAAAACAAGCTCCCAAACCCGCACCACTTTATATCTGTCGAATCCACATCAACCGAACGGAAATCAATTACCGCTGCTTCTTAAAACCCTCGGAATTTATAAATTGAGATTTAGGAGCCTTTATCACTGCAAAAACCCTAGACCAAAACCAGAAGCTTCAGGAATTAGGGATCAGAGAAACGCGGGAAGGAAAAGCCGCGCCTTTTTTTCGTCGGTGTCAAGTTTCTTCCCGACGATGAAGGGTTGAGAGAGATATCACCATTGACCAATGTTGTGAACGAGAACATTCTATTGCTCTGGAGCAGTAAGATTTCTAGAAAGAGAGAAGGAAAAAACCAATCTTTTTCTTTGACTACTGCGAGAAGAAGACCCATAGTGCACTATCGAAGAAACCACACGAATTACAGCTTTTAATATTAAAAGGCGGGGATTTTTTGTAAAAATTTACATAAATACCACTTTATTCTTCTGTATTTACATATTTACCATCCAAATTTTAAGATTTATTTTATAATGCTTTGCTGTCATAAAATTCAATATTAAAAAATATATTTGGTTTACATTATGTAATTATGTTATTTTTTATGTAATGTTAAATATTTCATTGTTGTTGAATCCAAAATTATCCTTCTGATAAAACACGCCTCGACAGTTGGATCCTGGAGGAGAGTAAGGGTCTGTGTGGGGGCACTTATTTAGTGAGGCGGCGGTTTGAAAACGTTGGAATAGCGTTTGGTTCGTGTGTTCGATCGGTGGCTTGAAAACGCTAGAAAATGTTTTATTAAGAAAGAAGAATGCGGGATCGGCGAGGTGCGTTTGATCGTCATTTACCTCTTGTGCTCCTCTCTCGTGTGACTGTGCTTTGCCATAGCCCGGTTCTCCCTCACCCCTCTCCGTCTCTTCTCCCTCGATGCTTCCTCTCATTCATCTAGTATCTCGTAATGTTACTCCTATCTATACTTTCCGTGTTTTTTCCTTTAGTTGCACTCGTTTGACATCTGCGACTTCTGATCTCATGGTTTTCTTTGGAATATTTGTGATTTTTTTTGGAAATTTTGTGGTGATACCAAACATTTATTTAGTAAATCGAGATATTACTTCTCACAGTTATAGGAGATAGTTCTACAGTTGTCGTAGGGGCATTTCAATGAGGTGTGGTTTCTTCTGTTGGGTCGACATTCCAATATATTTCACTGCTGACAGTGATCGGGGTACGATGGTTTCCCAAAAGAACAATGCAGCTGAGTATATTTGTCGTCTGGGTTTTAAAATCAACATTTTAATAATTTTAATTGTATTTATAATTATTTCTCTCTTTATTTTATTAGTTTTGATACTCACGCGCAAGTGAGGATTACATCTTATTTTTTAAATTGATCTGTAATTGTTTGCGGCTTTTTTTTTATCAATTAATTTACTCAGACAGTTATGTTACAAATAAAATTACTTAACAGGGGCATAATGATTATTTATCCAGAAATAACTGCAAATAAGTTGTTCTGAATAAGCTCCCCGAAACAATCAGCCAGCTTATCAGAAGAATCTGCAGATTATCAGATTTTCAGTATAATATGCAAATAAGCAAATTATGAATAATCTGCAAATAAGTAGATTATAAAAAAATCTGCAGCTACCCCAAACATACCCTAAGAGAAAGAGAGAGTAGAGCCAACGAAGAATTCTTTAGAAAGGGTGGAGTCCATATTTCTTCCTTGAGTCTCCTATTTATACGTGTTTTTTTGTACAATTACAGAAAGTAGAGAATGATTATGGAAACCATCTTTAATGCAAACTAATGCATTAAATTAACACAAGATTCGTGTTGATATTTAAGTGTAATAAAACGGTCATTAGCAGATTGATGTATTTTAGTTCGGTTGACCAGGGCGATCGATTGCTTGACGATTGCTCATATCGAGCAAAGTTAGATTTGGGTAGCTGAGACTGTAAGCGTGATCCGTCAATTGAATCCCTCGACAGTGTGGGCCTACCGACCCAATAGAGCAGCCGGTCGTCGAGAGACTGCTTCAAACATGCTTCTTCGGCTTGTGCTTCGATTGCCCGACCATCGTCCTTAACCGTCTGATAGCTTTGAGATTTGTGCTAGCAGTTTTGGTATATACAATTTTGATTTATATAAATATGAAAACTTAGGTGTTCGATATATAAATGCATGAGAAATTTAAACTGTTTTATTTAAATACTTAAATTGCTTTTTTAACTCAATATGAATTAGTAAAGAAAATTAATTTTTGATGGTCGGCACTATGAAGTGTGGGATTTCCATACCAATTACTAAATTATGATTTATTGATATATCTAATATCTAATTATATATTTACTTTCATAATACCTTGTTTTAAAATCACATTATAATTTATGAATAAGAACATATTCTATTTTAAATTAATTAATACTAGTTGCAGCTTTAATATAATTCATAAATTTGTACACATGTCATAATTGTTCCTTCACATGACACCCTATTAATAAATGGACAAATTACTTGGCAGGTTTACATGCGTAGCACTCAATTCCTATATATTTACATATCTACCGCCTAAACTTCAATTTTTACATATATCTCATTTTATATAGCCCACTCAATTCTTATATATTTACATATCTAACACCCAACTTTGATCATGACACCCTATTAATAAATGGACAAAAATTATTTGGCAGGTTTACATGCATAGCACTCAATTCCTATATATTTACATATCTACCGCCTAAACTTCAATTTTTACATATATCTCATTTTATATAGCCCACTCAATTCTTATATATTTACATATCTAACACCCAACTTTGATATTTTACAAATATAATACAATATTGTCATAAAACCATGAATAAAAAGATGTATTTCATTTTTAAAACAATGATGATAATATATTTTTGATGCGATGTTATAGATTTGAGTGATATGCATGTAAATATGAATATTTAGGTGTTAGATATATAAATACATAAGAATTGGGTGGCATATACCTAAATGCCCTTTTTTTATGTATATACCGCCTAATTTTTTTGATTTTGCATATCTAACACTTAAAACTTTACTTTTTACATTTCTGTCACCTAATCTTTCATATCACATAACAAATATCATACTTTTTTTTTCACTTTTAAAAGTAAAATAGACCTTTCCATGCATTTATAAGTTAGTGTATGTACAAAAAAGAAAAGATGATTATGTGCTATATATCTAAATATATAGGTGTATGCCCAATTATATAGCCATATAGCCTAACAAGGCTTTTACCTTCATAAAAAGCTTTATGGGCCCCATAGATTCATATCCAAAGATCTAGATCTAGTTATTTTTGAATTTAGTCCATTTGTCGAAATAGTCGAACGGAACTAAGCACACCTGTCAAAGTCGCCGAACTTAGCCCACCTACTAATAAAACCACGAGGAAAGACGTTCATTGCGATAACATCTGTCAATTCTCCTAAATACAGGATCTTTATCAGGCAGTATGAACTTACAGATAATACGGGACCCTACGTCTTAAAAAGATTTAACAATAGGTGAAGACGAGCATTGCAGATAGATGAATTCAGCAAAAATAAATACAAAACTTGGAGTTAAATACAAATCTGACCGTTAGAAGAACATTCAGCTCTCGTTTGAAGAAGGAATAAAAAGGAGAGAAATCCCGCCATCACATATCTCTGCTTGCTCACAGCCTAACAAAGGAGAATGCTGATCTCTCCCTTCTCACATGACCTTCTAATGCCACATGGTTCCGCATTTATTTCTCTCTGGAGATTCATATTTTGTTTAGGGTTAAAAATTTAAAAAAAAAAAGAATCTTGACCAAATTGAGGTCCCAACAAATACAGTTGACTTACAAAATAGTCAACGTTTTTTTTTGCATCATGATGCCTTGAGTCTAGAAAATGACATCCACCCTGCATGTCAAAGTCAATTTAATGTAAATCGACAGTTGAAGACATAGAACAGAAGAGTTAGAAAGGATTAAAACTAGAGACATGCCATGTAATTGTTATGTATCTATAAATTTAATACCTCAATTTTGATATTTATATTTATAACACTTTTATTTGACCTTATGATGCGAGGGCTGCCCTAGTTGAACCATAAGTTGAATCGGCTGGAGAAGTGGACCAGTTCTGCAAGGGGTGCAAGGGGGCCAGCTGGCCCAAGCGACTGTGTATGTGTGTGAGACATGTATCCCAGCCTCTTGGTTGGCATCCATGGTATAAAATCCCTTTAGGTCGAGGGTTCGAATCCCCTCTGGCACAGTTGGCCTTAAGGAGGCGGTACACAAACTGTTAGGCACAATAGAGGTGGTTGGAGGCTTATATAATGCCTCTTGGTAGGCATCCACGGTATAAGACTCATTTAGATCGAGGGTTCAAATCCCCTCTGGCACAGTTGGCCTTAAGGAGACGGCAAATTGTTAGGCACATTAGAGGTGGTTGGAGACTCTTATAATATAGCCTTTATATATATATATATATATATATATATATGTGTGTGTGTGTGCGTGTATTTTATTTCTATAATGGTTCAGTTTTTGCTTCAGAAATTTATGTCATCAGCATCTTTTTCCTTCCTAGGGTTGAATCTGAAGGCAAGTGGTGTTTCAATTATATCATGCTCCGATTTGGTGTTTATCTTTATTAGTCTTCTTCCCCTCCCTCTTCTTGCTCAACCATCCTGTTTGCTGTCGCAAACCCTCCAACCTCCCTGTTTGTTGTCGCCAACCCTCCAACCTCCCCATCTGCTGCCTCAAACTCCTACATTCATGCGGCTACCACAACCCCCCTCTAGCCTTTCTACTGTTGTTGCAAACCCCACCCCCTCCAGCCTTATTGTTGTTGCAGCAACTTCCCGACCAGCAAAGCTACAAGTTGTTCTGCCACAGCCCACCATATTCGTCCTCATCCTAGTGTTTGTGTGGTTTTATTCATGTTTTCAAGAGTCTTGGTTGTAATCCCACTGCATTTCAGCAATAATACTTCCATTTCGTTCCAATTTGGGTTAACTCCAATATTATTGGCATCAGAGTTAGCCTAACCCTAATCCTATCCTAGGGTTTCCTAGCATCCACCATACCCAAACTATCTCCACTCAAATTTTTCTTTCTTAGTTCCCCCAAACCCTAACAATGCCACCAAGGAGACACATGTCAAAACCTACCTGAGAAAAAATACAACGAGAGATCTGTCAACTTTAGATGAGACTTGTTGAGATTGATGACGGGACCTAAGGAGAGAATATCCTCGACCGTGACATCATATTTAATATTTACTCTGACAACAACAAATTTTAATTTCGTTCCCCGCCTACCAATCAGGTCACATCCCTGTTGGTCTACTTGGCTTTCATGGTAATTTGGAATTCGTCATTAAGGCAAGTTACCCTCATTGATGGAGAAGAGTCCAGTCCTCCTTGGCAGATAGGTTTAACTCATACTTCGCTGCCAATACTCTGCTACTAGAACTCGACAGCCCGTAACCAACAGCTAATACTCAACTACTCATCAGCTTGGCAAGACAAATCAAGCAAAAAATATTTTAAAAAATCCTAATATAATTTGTATTAGGATGGACTTGAACAATATAAATGTATGAATATATATATTTATTATACATAAAAACATATTAAAATATTAGAGAAGGCATATCCTCCCACATGCCCCCCACTAAATCTGCCCTTAATTGGTGGCCTACCTTCTGGATATCTAACCAGTAACCACTTATGACTCAGAGGCCCAATAGAGTGCTACGAGATTGCTTCTGCCTGTATTTGACTTCCATCCTTTGTGAACCCTGTGAAAGAGTTCCCTTAAGAACAAGTTCATCAAAATAATAAATTGTTCACATCTTATATGCATATATATCTCTGGCATTATCTCTCGCTTTGTTCAGAGAACGAGCAAAAGAGATCAAATTCATGCCACATGAATAAATAATACTACTCTCAACCTTTGAACAGAGAAAGATATTCTAAGCGAAATGGTCCAACTGAACATCTATTTGAAAAATAATGCAAATTAAAAAAAAATAAATAAAGATTTGCATGCATACCATTCATTTCTTATGTATTTACGCATCTAATACCTAAACTTCAATTTTTGCATATGGACCATCTTCCCTATGCATGAAAAAGGTGTAATTCACTTTTTAAAAATTAAAATAGTGATATTTTTTTGGGTAGTATAAAGGTAAAATGTAAAATTCTGGTGTTATGTGTAAATACATGGGAAATGGGTGGGTATGTATGTAAATGCTCCTAAAAAAACGCCATATTTATAATAGATTAATCAGAAATCCATGCAAAAGCAATAAACATTAAAAATCTGCAATACAAAACAGACACTTTCTATTTCTACTATCGAGACATACTTTGCACAAACAAGGCAACAGTTGATAAAATAATCAGCACTTTCATCCATACAAAAAATTTTACTATTAGACAAATTAATCTTTCACTTACTAAACTTTACATCGATACACCTATTTACATAAAAACAAAGAATATGGAATGAGAATGGATAAGCAAAATCAACATTGATCCATGAAAGAGGAGAGTCGAGCATTCATTATCATGCGAAGGAGAAATTATTATGTCCTTCCATTTTTTTCTTACAAAGATGCATGCTCGCTACGTACTGCGTATTCCATACGCGAGTATACAATTGTACACTTACATTTTTCGCATGTATAAATGTGTATGCATAGTCCTCACCTAATAGTTTCTCCTCGTAGAACCAGTCTAACTTAACTGATTGATCGGCTTTCCAGTTTCTGGAACAAATTAGAAAGAGCATTGTAAAGAACTGCAGCAGCAGGAGGCCTCGGCAATGCGCCGAGAAGAATATCCGATGCATTAACTGTTGAAGATCCATAGAAGCGGCGATTTTCCGATGTTCTTGTGGTTAGTAAGCTGCCTTCTAACGAACAACCCAAAAATGCACCTGTATGGATGATAAAGGAACCTCACTACAGCTTCTACACAGTTAAGTTCCATTCTAACTCAAAATACTTCTTTCAGAAACAATGTTGCAACTGAACGCAGAATGTGATGAACGTAATCTTTGCAAATTATATTGAATAAATACTATTTATGTAAATTAGCAGCAATGTTAATTTTATTTGCTAACTTCATGGGTGTACTTTTTAAGCATTATTGTGCAAGTCCAAACTAAATTTATTATTCAACTCTTCGACTGTTCCTCTAATATTTAGCATTCATAGTTATATCACGCATACTTAACTTTGTTGTTTTTTGTCACGCTAAACTTGAATATCAATTCTACTCTGCTCGCTAAGAAGTAGATGAGCTGCGCAAACAAATTGTAATTTTATAAAATATGGGCTCATAAAATTTTATTTGGTTTGACTAGTACAGCAGAATAACATATAAAACTGATATATCCTATTATACAGATTGTATGAGTGTTTCTTTAGCTTCTTTATACATCATAAAATCAATGTGAGAGTAGTAAAATTAAATACTCCATAAGTACGTATGTATATATTTAGACGGAAGCTTGCAAAACTCAGAAGAATAGAAGTACAAGAATAATTTGTAAGCTGTAGCATGTAGGAAGATCGCAGCGGTAGAGAAATAATTAGCGACTTAGCATAGCACGAGATACAACAAATAACACAAATCAAAGAAAAAAAAGTGGAAAAAGACTCCATGATTTTTAAGTGGAAAACCCTGTAAAAGGAAAAAAAATCACTGAGTCTAACCTAATTGAAATAATTTACTATATGATTGTAAGTACATGGTCTCACTCTCCTCTTGAAATTGTGAACAATGTTGTTGTACAACGGTAGTTCAACAATGATAGTTATAACGGGCCGCAAAGGTCATATTGGATTGCTATGAGGGTAATAGTTCGTTATGAATGTTGTAGACAGTGATTGTAGTTTCAGTTAGTCATAGAAGCCGCAGTTGAAAGTTATGGTAGTACTTGGTCATGTAGGTCGTAGATGATTGCTTCAAGAGCGTTAGTTGGTCACAGAGACTGAAGTTGAGAGCTGCATGAGTCGTGGATCACGTAAGTCGTAGTTAGTCATATATGTCGTAATTGTGAGTTGTGATAATGTTCGTGGCCCACAGAGACTGAAATTAGAAGTTGCATGAGTTATGAGCCACATAGGCCGCATGTCGTAGTGGTGAGATGCAATAATGTCTATAGGTCATAGTAGTCGGAGTTGGGAGTTGTGTGAGCTGCGACCCATGTAGGGTGGTAGCCACATAGACCATACCGGTGAGCTATGATAGCATTACTTGGTCGCAGAAGTCGTAGCGTTGAGCTGTGAGGAGAGAACTCCAGTAGTTCGGAGCTCACTGTATATTGAATACCATGGTTGTAAGCAGCTATTGCGAGGAGTTATACCGTACTCGGGGTATGTCGTTACATTATTTTCAAGGTGCGTCATTACACCATTTTCAGGCTGTCATTACAACGCGTTCAATGTGTGTCATTGTATCGTATTCAGGGTGTGTTACACCATTTTCAGGGTGTTTCGATACACAGTCTTCGGGGTGTGTTGTTACACCATTGGGGCGTGCGTTACACTATTTTTGAAATGTGTCGTTGCACCATAGGATTCGTCGACGTCGTTGCACCATAAGATTCATCGACGTCGTTGCACCATAAGATTTGTCGACGCCGTTGTTGCACCATAAGATTGTCGTTGCACCATAAGATTTGTCGACGCCGTTGCACCATAGAATTCGTCGACGCCGGCGAGCAAGAGGTGGTTAATGGTGGTCAACGACGACTTGCAGTGGTCGATGGCGGTAGGCTAACGGTAGTTGATGATGGTTGACAGCTACAGAACCAAGAAATGTTTCTCAAATTTTTTATCCATAATAGCACTGGAATTCAACTCACTCCCGATCCAGCTCTAGCTCCCCGTCCCCGCTCATGAAGGGGGTGGGGCTCTATTCATAGAATCTAGGAGTGGTATCTCTTATAAATAAAACAGAAATCCGAACAACTCCATCAAATGGCCCAGAATGATTTATTTGATCAGACGACATTTTTAGAAACATTTAAGTATCTTAATAATGTCACAATTTAGTGATCTTTGGCTCGTTGGATTTGTCTCACCAACACACTCAATTTGATTATAAGCTTGTCGGACTTGAAATCCATTTAACATTCCAATTAGCCACCCAAAACTTCCAAAAGTGATTTAACGACTTGATCTGAGCTTAATTTGACTCGGATTTTGTCAATTTTGGTTTCATTGGGTTCGTCTCGCTGAGCTGGTCAATTTGACTATAGGTTTGCTTAAATCAAAGTTCTGAATCACTTTTAATTTGAGATTCAATATTTCTTGCTCAATAAATACTATGAGATGAGCTAATTGCCTTGAGATTCATGCCAAACAATAAAATTTGTTGATGACATCTGCATTCATGTAAAATGGCATGTAATTACCTTCTTTATTTGGACATATATCACATGTCATACTGGAATTAACAATGAAATAATGTAATAAATGCAACTTTATTTAAATAATTTGTTCATAAAAGAATTGTATTTCATGAAAGTTCTAACATGACTAACATGATACTGCACCCAACCCTAGCCTCTTATCATTATGACGTGAGTTCACCATAAACGGTAGAATGTAAAAAAAAAAGGTTTTAGAGGGTACACTAATGATCTATGAATCAAACTAAAGGTAGCACAGAATTGATTTCTGGTAGTAAATAGCTCTACTCTAATTTTCTCCTGTTCTTGCTGGGGACAACAAGTTCCGTAACTGATTTAGAGTTCTCAGAAAAGAAGCTAACTGCTGGTTTTTACCATTAGTTTGCTGCCGAAACAGCAATCGAAATGTTTTTTTTTTTTTTGGAAGATTTACATTCATACCGGTCTATTCCTATGTATTTACATATCTAACAACTAAACTTGATTTTTTACATACATACCATCTTACCTATTATGCAAGAAAAGGTGAATTTTACTTCTAAAAAATTAAAATGGTGGTATTTTTTTATGTAATATGTAAGATTTGGGTGGAATAAATGTAAAAAAGCAAAGTACATATGAATTGGGTGATTTTGAAGGCTTTGGATAGCGACAGAGAATAATTCGGGCACTTGTTTAGAACCAGCAGGGGAAAAATTGAGGTAGGACAGGGATTCGAGAAGATAGAAAGGATGTGAGAGAACTGGATTAAAATTTTAACTATTAATAGAAAATTATAGCAGAGATGAACCTTTTTTTCATTCCTAAAAAAATTCCACAAAAACAAAGCACCTTATTTATAAACAGCAAACTAAATAACTCCAAATTAAACGATAAATACATCAATTTTTTTCTAATAATTAAAATTCAAAAACAAATCTATACAAAATAAGTTAAAAATTCCAAACTCATGCCTATCACATTGTAATATGAACTTCTAGCCTCCGATCTTAATCACCAAGCCTTAAATTAATGATCATTACCATCACCGGCATCTCTAACTAAACAATTAAGCAATCTAAGATCAAGTAACGTAATCTTTTAATCCCTTCACAACTCGAGAGAACAGTTTCTTCTCAAGGACTTCTTTGAAATGAACAGTCAAATTGATTAATCCCTTCATGATCTGATCCCCATATATTGCGTCCCTCATTTAAGAGGATTTCCATATATTATGTCCATCATTTAAGAGGATTTTACTCTTGTGAAATTAAAGATTCATATAAAGCAAAGCTATCTATGCAACCTTCCAGGGGTAACATTTAGCTTTGCTATGTAACAAACCTTTCAAAAAGACTCTAGAAGATTTTAGAAACTTCTTTAGACAGCTTGAATTTAAAGATTTTCCTAGAACATGGAGCTTGGGAAACAATTCATCTTTAGAGCTTTCTAGATTATGATTCTGTCTTGTGGCCATATTAGCTCCTACAAATGTCCAAAGTTTTACCTTGTGTGTACCAAAATGTTTGATTTGATTCTATAATGATGTTGCCTATTTTGAGCTTGCTAAAACTGGCAAGAAATTGACAAATTCCTATTCATTTATTTCTTGAATTGCTACTCTTCCAGCTCCTTATTCAATAATGGAAACTTCCCACTAATGGAAATTCTTGCCTCCACTGGAGGAGTCAATCATGAAAACTAGATTTTCATACATCGGTACATTTAGCAACATTACATCAAAGATGAGCTCTATGTCTTGCATGATAGACCTTTTTCATGGCAATTATTGTCCTCCATGAAGAGGAACACAGCCCCGATCAATTTCTCCATCGACATGCCATGCCCTTCTCTAAGACAATTGTGCGTATACTTTCCCTTCTTTAGCAGTTGGGTAAGCCTAAACCAACATGAATTTCTAGCATGAAATGATAAGTCTAACCTGCTTTTATTGTTGTTATTATGCTTTGCCATTAACACGCCACAATCATTTTCAGCATAAATGTCTTGCCTTAAAATGACTTATCATTAAGGCGTGAACTATTAAAAATGACTTGGCCATTATAAGTGGAAATACCTCCAATTTCTTTTCATTGATGCAATCCTTGGTGATTACATTTCTACTGACAATAACAATCAATCTTAATATTTTTTCCCCTTTCTAACTAATCCAACCTGAAGTATAAGGATTGGGATGGCTAGTGATGTTTATAGTAGATTAGCAAAAACGAGATTATTTAGGCAACCAGTGTCGATGATGGTGATCACACCTCTATAATAGACCCATATTCCCAAGTTAAGCAATGACTCGTGTGTTTTTATTGGAGGATGGCATCACTGCCATATCTTTTCTTAATGCCATCAGAGATAAACAAGTTTGCATATCCACTAGACTTAGCATGGTGCTATGCATTACAATAATGGTTGTTTTTTTTTTCTTTCCATGCTTTACTCTTTTTTTTTTGTAAAATAGTTAGAAAGCAAATTCTAGCTTTTTTATTTAATCTGACAAACTGGTTGACAATGATCACAAAACTCCCTAGGAAATTAGTTTTTTGAGAAGAAAAGTCATCACTTATCCATTTTTCTATCTTTATACGAAGAAATAAGAAATTTTAAAATGTTTCTTGGATCTTTCCCTTCTACTTTAAATTTCTCATTTTGTGGCCATCGCATTAATACTAGCCTTTTTTTGAGATCTAAGAAAAAAAGCCACGTTCCTGAAAGACAAATCTAAAAACATCATTCATAAAAATTCGCACATCAGCAAGATTAACTCCCAATGATTGCACGTCTTCTAGATTTTATGGTTTAATTATGCATAATAATTTGAGCACTGTCTCAAGTTATGTCATTTATTTTACTGTTACTTGACATAACCAATTGAGTGGAACTTGCAACAAAACTGCCCCAAAGTTGTTACCTGATGACCATTTCCATTTTAAGTAAAAGTTCCATAAAGCTAAAACATGTTAGCAAAATGTAAGTTGGGCAAACACCTCTCTGTCAAGAGTATCCTACCCGTAAAAAGTAAAGTATCTCGCTAATGAGTCAATCCATGCGTCAATTTTGTTCCTAGTGGTCATCCGATCATAAGAGAGAACCATCATTTGGTCCCTACTGTAAAAATTATAATTTTTGATTTATCATAGAACATCTTCTCCCTAATTTTCACTATCATCTTCCAAATTGCTAGCTTTTACGTGAAGAACATTTATTGTTGGGAGTGGAATCAAAATGAACAGTGTAAGTAAGATCACTATGATTCCATGAGATGATGGAAAATTACAATTTGATCCATTCCATCATCATCGACATTTGTTATAATAATTTAGCCACTTTTCAACCAAGATTAGAAGACACCTCTTTCAACCATTGTTTATTACTTCTTTCTTGTCCTTTGTTGTGGATATAGTATGGGACTACATGGTAGAGTTCGATACCCTCTCTTTGTTTATACCATGCATCAAGAATGAGTGCTTTGATACCAACCAAATCCAATGTTAACGTCTTACTACTACAATGCGAGTTCACAAGCTAAAATAGACACGTAAGTGTTTAGATAATTCATTTGAAGGATCCTTAGCAATCAATAAATAAAAGGAAGATTAACATTCATACCACTCAATTCCTATGTTTTTACATATCTAACACCTAAATTTCAATTTTTATTACATAAATTTCAATTTTTACATACATGCCACATTCCCTAGGCATGAAAAGATGTATTTCACTTTTTAAAAGTTAAAATGGTGGTATTTTCTTATGAGATGAAAGATTTGGGTGGTGTAAAAGTAAAAAAATTAAAGTTTATCTGTTAGAAATGTAAAACTTGAATTATGGAGATCTACATTGGAGTCTAAAGGCCTTCGTTTGAGTAGAACTAAAACTGAATACATGGAATGTAGTAGTAGCTCTAGTGGTAGAGTTGTAACTATGAGTGATCAGATCATTAAAAGGTGTAAACACTTTAGATATCTCAGGTCTATCGTTCAAAGTGATGGTGATATAGATGGGGATGTTATTAGTGATTTCAAGTTTGTTGGTTGAAGTGGAGGAATGCATAAGGCCAATCGTGTGATAGAAAAGTACCGTTTAGATTGAAAGGAAAATTTTATAAGATAGTAGTGAGACCTGCAATGCTCTATGACGCAAAATGTTGGCTTTTAAAAAAGAAGCATGTCGGCCGTTTTATTGTCCAACCTTCGTGATTTGAAAAAGAGTGATGATTTTGTGCTTTTGAAAATAATTTAAATATAAATAAGTAGCTCTAGTAGCAAACAAAATTAGAGAGGGTCGTCTTAGATGTTGATAGGGCTAGAGTAGCTCCAGTAGCAAACAAAATTAGAGAGGGTCGTCTTAGATGGTTTGGTCACATTAAACGTCGATCATCTGATGATCCTGTTGTAAGAGTGGATGTTTTAGATTCGACTTATGTTAAGAAATGCAGAGATAGACCTAGAAAGACTAGGGCATAGGGCATTATTGTATAAAAATGATCTTAATTTATTAGATTAAATGAAAACATGACACTCAATAGGATGCAATGGAGAAAAAGGATTCATATAGTCGATCCCATTTAGTGGGATAAAGGCTTGTCGTTGTTGTTGTTGTCGTCGTCGTCGTCTTAGATATGTAAATATGTAAGAATTGTGTGGTATGTATGTAAATGCCTCTAAATAAAAATAAAGGTTTGGGGTAGACGTCAAATTGATATTGTACATGGCTTCTCTTTACTTTGCCTTGTTCTTGCCGTAGACATCAAAGTCCCAGCACTTATTTTGATTCAGCAGCTAATCTAAATCTGGACAGCAATCTAGGAATCTTCCTTAACTGGGCAGCAAGATAATCTCGCTGTATTTTATTCTGAACCAGAGTGACGATTTGCCATTTTCTACCTCTGCAGATTCAAAACAGTATCTGAAGACCTCCTGTATGCAGCGTCGGCAAGGCCAAATGCTAGCCAGTGGCATTCAGGTGCTGTAAGGCAGTGGAAATTGATTGTCTGGCTGTTGCAAGAGATAACAAGGCTACTGGAAGCAAACTTAGGTGACCTAGGTTACAGAGCCGACGGTTATAACAGCTAGGGGAGGCTAGTGGCTGTAAGAAGAGGAGAGAATAAACCAAAAGAGGACTTGGAAAAATTTTAATTTAATTTTATTGCAGCAATTTGGCCTATTTAAAGCAAATGCACAAGAAAAAAGTTTACTCAATCTTAAATAAATTCAGGGAAAAAACAGGAAATCTTGACCATAAATAACGCCCAAGATAACTTTAAATTAAGAGATAAGTATTGATAAATTTAGATTAAAACGAGTAAAGTGCCAAAATAATTTTTGACTATTTCCATGGGGTCATTTCAATCTCAAAATTTATAGAAGTGTCAAAATAGTCCTAAATTATTTTAAATTTGAGCTTTAATAATCCTCCATGAGGACTATTTCAGTCCCAATTTAACGGGTCCAGAGACTATTTTGGCACTTCTATAAACACTTGGATTAAGATTATCCCATGCAAATGGTCGTAGACAGTTTTGGCATTTTACTCGGTAAATTTATTGTAATCTAGAATTTAAAATTTAAGCACACAACAAGTTTAAAATTCAAAACTCATCCCCATTCCACTATAATCTAGATTTTGATCCAACTGCCCATCCTTCTTGCCCTCGAACATGATCATCAGACATTTATCAATATTAGACTCTTGATGATAACTTCTTTAATTTCAATTGTGTGATACGATAATAAATATCCCTAAAATCTCTATTAAAAAATAAAACAGTGCAAAATCATCAATTAATTCGACCTCCATACCCCTTCACTATTTGTCTTTAAATTGTAAGGCAAGTTGCTTCTTATAAACTTCTTTGAAGTGGACTATTGGATTGGGCAGCTTTTTCATGATCTGATCCCCAAATTAAAATCAATAAGTACTGACCTTCATGATCTTAATACTTCATGCAACTCAACATGGTATAAATGAAGAAGCATTTTTAGCATATTTCTCTACATAGAAAAGTGCAAGAAGCACAACCCAGAGAGGAAAAAAATAAGTTGTCAGCTCAACAACCACCAATTTTTTACGAAATGTAAGATTTGATACTATTAATTTGGGACTTGCATGGAAAACAAGTTGAGCACCTTAAAAAGCAAAAGATAGACAATGACTCCAAGCATACATTAAAACTATTAAATAAGGACTAACTACAACCGTAATTTAAAATGAAAATTCTCATGTCTGGCCTTAAGAAAATACAATCAATGTATATGAAATAGGAAATGCATGACTGTTGAACTAGCCTCAAGCTAAATACTCTATATTACGTGACAACTCATACCTCCTCCACCAATCATAACGCCGTCAAAATATTTAGGGGCATTCACATACTCATAATTCGCATGAATTTACATTTCTAACATCTCAACTTTTGATTTTTACATTTATATACCCAATCATTCATATCACATCAAATTTTCCATCATTTTGACTTTCAAAAAGTGATATATAGCAATGCATAGGCAAAATCGTTCGTATGCAAAATTCAAATTTTAGGTGTTAAATATGTAAATACGTAAGAATTGAGTGGTATGTATATAAATCTTCCAAATTTTTATCATTTTAAGTACTCTAAAGAAGCAATATACGACATCTAACACATCCACCGCTCACAATCATCTCTCTTTCAGAAAATCAAACTTATACTTCTTCTACAAAAAATGAATATTGCAGTTTTACCTTTAGTACTTCTACAAAAAATGAATATTGCAGTTTTACCTTTACTTCTGCTGTATGTGTAGCAGGCAGCAAATCCACTAGCCCCGGCATGCAGATCAGCCTCAGCTGCTCTCCCAACAATTCCAGCTGCTGCACTGATGCCAGCGCCTAATGAAAAATGAGCATTTCCACTGAAGTTCTTAACCGCATCTTTTGTTTTAAGAACAATTATAAAATCAGTTAACTCTCCACCAGCCTGTTGAAATGTAATTTTCATAAGCATGTAATTTAAATCCAATTCATAAGAGCTACGGTTCACTAGGCCGGTATGATTCTTGCCTGTGCTCCCCACCCAATGCCTAAGGTAGAAATAGCTGATGGCGGCGACCAAGATCCATCATCACGACGAGCAATTACTAAACCAGTCCCAACATTATATGTAATCATCATCCCAACCTTTGCAACAGTTAGTATGGCAAGGCCTTTTGCTTGTTTTAGAATAGCATCAGGAATGGACTTTTCTGGCTTCAAAGAACCAACCTGAAATAATATTTGGCTTTTAACATAAATTTCATCCTAAAACACTTGTTGAAATTTTAATAAAAGAACAAGGAGAAGCAGTTTGTATTCACAAGTAGAACAAATTATTTGGCTCTATCATTTTGAACTAAATTCAGCATAGGTTCAAAAGAAAAATTTTGAAAATTAAAGTAACGAAATTCTTGACCGAGTTAGTGATCTAATGAGCTCCAAATCCAATTTTTTAAGACCAACAGCTAGCAGGGAATAAAAAAAGCCCAACAGTGCCAGCCACTTAGATTCAATCCTTATAACAATAACTAGATCAAAACCTTAAGCTTATTGTTCAGCAAATGTCACTCCTTACAATTAGGCATATAAAAGCTTAGCAAAAACTAAAACTTTGCAACATAAAATTCTAAAAATACAATATATAACATGGAAATTATCACCTTATTGTAATCACGAACTGTATTAGCAGCCTTATAGATCTCATGCTCCATTGACTGACCCCATGGAAAGTTCAACCATGATCGTAACGTGCTGAGATCAGTCAGATCATGAGTTGGCAACTGTGATGCCCGGCTTACTTGATCCATAAGATAGGGCTGAACAAACTCTAGACGGACAGAGCAGACATCGCAGACCCGTTGTGGATCCCAAATCCGGAATTTAGATGGAAGCAAGCTCCTTCCTTTTGAACATTCATTACAGAATATCCCACCACAAAAACGGCAGTGATGTCTAGAACACATAATGGGATGAAATTTTACATTACAGAGCATACAATATGTCGCAGCACTGTCAGCTAGCCACCTAGGTGGCTCAGCATCAAGAATTTCCTTGGCATTTCCATAACTAGCCTCTGTAAGAGTATGAGCCATCTCACTCCAGGCATGGTCCAATAGTTCATTTGGGATCCAAGGCAATTTACTGCTCCGTAACTCACCCACAGAAAAAGAAGCCACCTTTCCTCGGGTGGCTAGAAGAATCTCTAACACAACATCCCACATAGTCATCTCCCTATATTCCCCGGCAAGCTGAGCCCAACTTATATCGCCATCAGGAAAATATGCCCCATTGGTCAAGAAACCTTGGCTGTATTCCTCATGATCGCTAGCTGACATGGGCGGTACGGAAACAGGAATCCAGACACCAGTATCTTCATTATATGGTGTATCATAGCAGAAATATCTACCTAACCTCCGCTTTTCGAGAGATTTGTTGGCATAGTTAAGGAATTCTGGAGGATGGTAATTTTGTTGCATAGAGGCACAATCAACCGAAGGAAGAAAGTTAGTATTTTCAACATTTTTAGCGCATGAATCCTCATCTTTTTTCTGCAACTGAGCACCCTGTATTTTGATTTCAAGTGGTTAACAGCGGATGAGGAAATTGAGAAAAATTCTAGAAATTATACCAAATATATATAAAGGCGGTACTAGCTCGATATTGAAGTTGCTCGAAGAGCATTTTTTGCCACAAAAAATAGTGCAGGACGCACAAATAGTCAAGTAAAGGGAAATACTGAAACCGATACATAATTAAATAAAACCAAAGCATAGTTTCTGATCACTAAGACCAAGCGATTGGAGATGGTTAATAGAGAAGAATAAAAATTTACAACAGCTACCGTGCAAATATGAAGCTCGCGCCAAAGAACACTGTAAAAGCTCTCGTTCCTGCGATTTCCGTGGTCCATAAAAAAAAGCAAATCAATAAGCACAGTAAGGGGGTGTTTGGCTGCATCATGGATTTTATTTAAGTAGGATTTACTAAATCCAGTTAAGCTAAATCCAAATTTTATGTTTGATATTATTTCCATTAAAACAACATAAATCTGCAATTTGTGTTTGACATTTGGTTCAGGATTTAACATTAGTATCGCCGACAAATATGGCTTCAACCAGTAGAGCAGGGGGAAATGCATGGGGACTTTCTAAATCGTTCCTACTCATCGGTTGATCTAAATGGATTGATCGTGGCACGCCTAAATACATCGGTTTGCAAAAACCAATTGGTTAAATATGCCTTCTTCTTCAACCATTCTTTTTCTAGTTTGGCCCTCAAGGGCAGTGTTCTCTCTGCAACTAAGCCAAAAGATTTTTGAGACATCAACCTTCAGTGAAGCGAATCTATACTCCAATTTCTTTCGAACTCACAATTAAGTTCCAGGAATAATAATTGAAATCACGAACTCATTTAAATGTGGGACGAAAATCTTTGCTCTGGTGAAAAAAGCAAAATTTTCACAGGTGGTCTTAAATTCTAACGAAAGGATGGCGCGACCAGACTTTACCTTCCTCGATGTTTATGGTAGGATCGGAGCAGATGGATGAGAAAGATGGGAGAATCGCTGGTCTCAGAACGCAGCGATCTCCTACTGGCATTCCTTGCTAGCTCTAATACGGACTGTATCATGAGGGTTCGTTGACGAAAGCAAAAATCCCTCTCTCAAATAAATTATAAACCCTAGGTGACAAATTCACTAATCTCTGCAGAGTTACAGTCTTACAGACCAATCAAATAGAAAAAAGCGAAAAAGCAAAGCCAATGAGAGATCAATGAAGTAAATCAATGACCTAGATATAAAGAAAAACCTTATTATCGTCATCGGGAACAGTAGAAATCCTAGAGACGTATTCCGCCATCGATGTTGGCGATTCCTTCAGATTCAAATCCAGAATTTCGATCACGGGGTATAGATTGTTCTTATCTGCCATTAGAATACCGATCTCGAAGATAAAATCGGGTGCAGAGGGGATGGACGCTTTTCTCCTCAAAGAAATTTTTGTAGACGCTTAGAAAACCTGTAAGAAATTGATTAACTTGTTCAGCTCGAACAAGGCAAGCAGGACAGCATCGGTGCCGGTTTTGCTCACGCAAGGAGGTTCGGGACTTCTTGCCGAGCCTGTTACAAATGCGAGAAGAATTTTGGTACTTCGGGTGTTATAACCGAAACCGCTATTGCTAAATTATTTATAGTTTCCATATATATA